TTTTCCTAATTTTTAAGGGCACAGATTTTTTCTGGGAAATGTGAATCTCATGATAATTTCAATGGGAGCAAATTGTAGGGGGACAAACAAGAATGAATGTCTCAGTCCAGGTCAGAAATCCAGGAAAGGAAGTCCCACATATTTGTGGGATACAAGGCAGAAACATCTTGTACCTGAAAGCAGGTACAAAACACTATGCAAACCTCACAAAACATGCTAATATATCAATATTCTGGACTCATCTGCCAGTTTCCTCTTATAATCATGATGTGCCCACATATGAAGTGATTACTGTAACATAACCAGGAATAATTAACACTAGGCTGCTTGAAACAAAGAGGAAGAGAGTCTATACTTAAAAAGAATGAGGAGATTCAAAGTTGGCTCCTGCCAGAATGAAACAGTCCTAGACTACCAAATGTTTTAGAGAAAAAATTCTATAGAACTAAAGAGACATATCTCCAAAACAACTGGTTGGTAAAATCAATTCAGTCAAGCATCTATCTGGTCAATTTGTTGGGGGAAAATGTCAACCAAATAATATATGTAAGGTGTTTCACAAACCTTAAAGCACTATGTAAATGTTATTTATTATTATTATTATTGTCAATAATATTATATAATTGCTATTATTAGTTCCATCAAAATGGCTAAAGTGATAACTATCTTTAAAAAAACACTTGCATTGTAAATACCCACAGAGCACATTTTTCATTTGAGGAACTCTGCCTTGATATTAATATTGCCTTACCTTTTCCTCTGAATATTTGAACACTAGACCGTTCTTTTAGGAGGATCAGATGCAAATTGAATCACACCTCCCCACCTCCCATCCCCAGCACTAAGCAAGGCTTAATCTGTTTTTCCATCCAAGCTGAACATTGATTGGCTAGCTTCCCACTTGCACATAGACTTAAGCTAAGTGTGAAATAATGAAAAGTTGTACAGAGTTCAGACAAAGAGATCCTAGGGACCTGAAAGGACATGGTTACCTCGGTGACAATTGAGGCAGTAGATACCATACATGTTGCTCATTTGGGTGCAAATCATTGAAGACTCCCTCCAAGGCTAATAACTGGAGATTTGGATTCAGTAAGTCACTAGCTTCACAGGCATTAAGCAGGTTAGTGTTCCAAAGGGTAGATTACTTATAGAAAAAGAACTCTAGATCTAAATTTGCCTTTAATGTTGTTTTCCTATTCCACTGTAATCATTATGAAAAATTCCTCTTGTGGTCATAAAAATTGCTTTGGTAAAAAGCTTCTCCAAATTGTCAACTGAGGCATAAAAGTAACAGCTATAACAGAGAGTTACTTCATCTAATAACACACATGTCATAGAGATGTGCAATTGCAGGATATGTTTATGGAAAGATAACATAGCAGGTCAGACAGTGCATTGGACTGATGGCCAATAAATTGCCTAGTTATTTGAATGAAGTGACTGAATCAACCAGTTGTCTAGCAGCCCTCAAATAATAATCACCACCACCAATGCCTATCACATAGTGAGAGCTTTTAATAAATAATTGTTGATCGACTAAACAACCAACATTTATATAATGCTTTTAAATCTGCAAAGAGCTTTATCTCACTCAATCCTGACAAGAATCCTTAAATGGTAAGACAACAGGTATTGTTATTCTCATTTTGCAGTCAAAGAAACTGAAGTTCAGAAAGGTTAAAGGACTGGCCCACGGTCGCACAGTTTGTATGTGTCAGAAGTGGTATCTGAACCCAAATCTTCCTGATGCCCAAGTCCAGCACTCTCTCTACTAAGCCACACTGTATACCCACCCTTAATGCTCAGTTAGACCTACCCAGCTCTTTGCTGAAAATGTCAGGAATGTTGAAACTATATAATTCTAGCATGTATCAGCTTTCAGTTTTTCTCCCCTTTTATAACCATTATTTAAAATATAGTCATTACAAGTCAATTAAATGACACTCAAAGGGCATACTAAAATATAGAACTATTTAAATCTTTAAAAAAAAATAGTCCCACAGACTAATAAATGAAATCAAGAGACTCCTGTGCACAATGAATTGTCTGTCAGCCTTGCAGAAAAGACCTCCATGGCTATAAAAGGGTTAACCATTCTTTTCTTACCACCCCAATGCCTTCCCGGTAAAGGGTCACAGAAGGTGTTACACAACCCATCACTTGACTCCTTCCTTCAATTTGTGGAGACAGAATTCTTTGGGGACAAAATAAGTGAGAAACATGAAAGAAAATGATAGCAAGAAAGGGAAAGGAAGAAATAAAAATATCTTTAATATTGAGTAACTAGTTAGTCATTTGGTAAAGTTTCCCTTATTTATAACAAAGAGGACATGATATACAAATCCATTGATGTGAATGGAAAAGTGGATCCTAAACTCTTGTTAGTTGAAAATGAATTTCCCCTGGAGTTTAAATGACGTGCCCTTGCCTTCATAACTCTGTGATCTGGACCCTCCAACCCTGGAATGTGCCCCAGTGTTCTCTCTCCCTCTCAACTTCCAGTTCCCTGGACAAGTAGACAAATATGACTTTTCTGCGTATTCATGCAAAGGAGAATATGACTTGTACAGGGGGAAAAATGAGATGGAAAGAAGGATTCTTTGTCTTTTGGTTAGGATTGAAATTATGCTCTCTGCACAGATGCAACTGACTTCCTTTCTGAACCAAAAGCAATTGCCAGAATCTTTCAAACTGGGAACCTATTAGTTTTTCTTTGTCAGTTTATGCATGGCTAAGTAAATGAGTATATGAGTAAGGGTGTATTTGTGTGGGATGTATGTGTGTGTGTGTGTGTGTGTGTGTGTGTGTGTGCACCCACTTGTGCATATATAAGCAGGAGGGAGATACTTCGCTTCACTGTGTGCTGTGGTTATGGGTATAGAATACTTAAGGCTGTGACTGTGGATAACAGGGTCACGCACAGCAGAAGGAAATTAAATATTAAAACATTGCTTCAAAATAATATTAAGGATATGCCTGCCAGAAAGAAAAAAAAAAGTCAGGACTCTGACTCTAAGAAGTCAAGGAAATAACTTCTTCCTTATCCTCAAATCAGGTCAGCATAAGCTTTTTTAAAAAGATGCAGCCTGCTTTGAGCTACTGACACAGATTTGCATTTCCTCTGTCTTGGTATATTTTACATCATATCCTTAATATTATCAAAAGTGTAATCATATTTTTAACTTTTCCTCTTGTTCTGTTTAGAAAGCAGAAAAATAAGATTTAAAAAAGTTTGCAGGTGGCAGTTAATCACATATGAAAGCACTCAGGTAAACGTGTGGTTATGCAGAAGTGTTTACATCATTTAAATATTTATAGCTTCATTTAACTCTGTCTAATACTGATGCATTGAAACATCTCCCTGTAGACATTCTGGTCTATTGATTAAATAAAGGTAATCTGTTTCAAAATGCATATTATTTAATCATTAGACCTTAATGGCATCCTAAGAGCTATTTCAATCTATCATCCAAACTTATAAGTAGGCATAGGCTAAATCCTTAAGAAATAAATTTCCTCTTTGAAAAATTAGACAATACACATTTACAGGGAAGCCACTTTCAAAAAAAATCTTGGCATAAAAATATCCATTATACACAAACTTGACAATTTCATATTTTGAGTCACCTGGGTCAGTCATTAAGACTAAAAACATAAAAGCCAAAAACAAAGGCCAAATTGTCATAAACAACCAGATACATCCTTTTTCCTTTCATTATTTTCTTGAGATGCTCCCCATCTTCATCTGAAGAATTGACTGAGAACTGACTTTCGAGCCAAAAACATTTCAAGCCAAATTAACAAACCCCTGAAAATTGGGGTTTTGTGCTAGAATTCTGACAGACTGTTACCACAAGCAAGGCCAAGCCACCCCCCCCCCCCCACCAACAGCCACAGACTAAAGGAAGATAATCCACTTAAACAAACAGATTTGCTCCAGTTTACAGTCTTACACCAAAGGATAGCATTGGGTTTAAGATAATTGTCTTGTCTAACTATAAAAACTGATGCTTACTCTGGGTTTTACTGACAGGTTTTATAAAATGTCAAACTGTAAAATAAGCATTTATCTACACATGAAGAATGTTGGATTTTATAAATGCAAAAAGTACTGTCTATTGGCATTTAGTGAAATATTTCCCTGATCCTGGCTTCTGCAATGGATGAATATTGAAGCAAACGTCTGCACCATTGAGCTAGATGTGTCTGTTATTATTATAACTGATTACAACTGATCTAAACCAACAGAACAAAATATATATATGTGCATATATATATATATATATATATATATATATATATATATATATATAT